AGGGACAGAGCCCAGGCCGAGTTTAAGCCCCACAACTGATAAAAAAAAAAAAAAAAAAAAAAAAAGTGATGATTTAAAGGCATTGTGGTGGGCTTCTTTTGTGCTTTTGTTTTCTTCTTGTTTAGTATTTTAAGTCAATGCCTGTCACAGCTGAAACTCAGATAATACAGATATGAGGAGTAGCTGATATATTTGAGTATCTTTCTGAATAAAGAAATATCCCCTTCCCCCAATCTTGAGCAATAGTCTGATGAGATTATATCGAATAAAGCCTGCATTTTAGGGTCACTCAGTTTAAGAACAACATTTAAAAAGATTTGGCTTTGACAGTAATGCCTATGAAGGCAGAAAATATTTAGTTTACTCCAAGTTCTCTCTAAGTCAATTATATGTTACAGTAGCCAAAATTCTTAAGGGTACCCTTGGGCTACATTAACATTGCAATAGGAAGTGTGGTCTGGTATCTCCTCTGTCATCTTCTTCTGTTTGGGATGGGATTGGGACATTAGCCCTCCCTTTCTTGGAAGGATAATTTAAGAAGCTAAGAGATTTTCTGAGAATTTAAGAGGATGGGTAAGCTACCTTCAAATAAGAGTGTTTGTGTGGAAGAGAAGTTAGAATACGGCCTGAGCTGCAGGGCAGACCCAGGGCCAGCAAGCAGTGTGGTGAGGCAATGTTTGTCTCCTTACAAAGCTGTCTGATGCTGCCATCTGCTGAGACTGCCTTACTTCACACTGGAAATATTCAAGGTGAAGCAATGTGATCATTTGGTAGAAGGCTGGACAGTTAGAAAAGGGAGTGTCATAAAACAAGGTTCTTTTAGCTCTATCATAGGCTTATATTTTGTAAATCTGTACTGTCATCTCCCTGAAGTGTATTTCTTATTGGAAATGCCTCATTTCACATAGCTTTTTACAGCTTTTATTTTATTTTGGATGTTTTTAATACTCCACTCAAGTTTTTGTTGGTTTATTAGCCATAACTTTTATAGGTTTTTATGTTTGTTTTTTCAAGTTTTATGAGACACTATTTTATTATGTAGCTGGCCTCAAACTCAAAGTCCTCCTACCTCAGCTTCCCACCACATTTGGCTATAGAGGGCTTATTATCTTGTTTTCTGTTAATGGTTGCCTTAGGATTTATAATATATACCTTTAACATCCCATAGCCTATCTTCAGGAAATATACTACTTTAAAGATATTTTTTAAATATAATGATTAGGGGAATCTTGTATTTACTTACATTGCTATCACCAGTGTTCATTTTTCATTTGTACATACTTTATTTCACCTTTGTTTTTTTTTTTTTTTTTTTGGGTCCGGTAGTGGGGCCTGAACTCTGGGCCTGGGCGCTGTCCCTCAGCTCTTCAGCTCAAGGCTAGCGCTCTACCACTTGAGCCACAGTGCCACTTCCGGCTTTTTTCTTTTTGCTTATGTGGTGCTAAGGAATCGAACCCAGGGCCTCGAGCATGCAAGGCAAGCGCTCTACCACTGAGCCACCTTCCCAGCCCTTCACCTTTGTTTTTGAAACATATTTCACTTAGAATTCCTTGATTATAGCTTTGGTTGCATTAGTTGTATGTTTTATTTTTAGTCATTTTTAACAGTGTTCTGCCACATTGTTTTGACTTTCATTATTTCTGTCCAGAAATGATGCCATTCTTTGACTTTTTCCATAATGTTTTCCTTCCTCTGGTTGCTTTTAAGATTTTCTCATTTTCACTGAATTTGATTACTCTGTACTTTGGTAGTCTTCCTGTTTCTTGTGCTAGGGAGGTTTTCAATATTTTAGCAGTTTTAAGTCAAATTTAGAATTCTTTCAATCATCATGTCTTTAGCTCTGCTTTGGGGATTTTAGATACTTCCTAGTGCAGCCCCCACCTCAGTGTTTCATTTTGAGGTAACTGTTATTCCTTTAACCCTTTCTACTATAGTATCTCATCTACTGTAATTTTTATCTCACATTATTTTTTTTTTCTTTGCTGGTCATGGGGCCTGAACTCTGAGCTTGGGTGCTGTCCCTCAGCTCTTCAGCTCAAGGCTAGCACTCTACCACGTGAGCCACAGTGCCACTTCCAGTATTTTCTGCTTATGTGGTGCTGAGGAATCGAACCCAGGGCCTCATACGTGCAAGGCAAACACTCTACCACTGAGCCACCTTCCCAGCCCCTCTTCATTATTTTAAGTCTTTCTATGTCTTCTAACTACTTAAAGTGCCTGATTTTTTCCTTGAATATAATGAAGATAGCTGTAGTGACTGCCTTAATGTTCTTGTATATTCTGCCATCTGTGACATTTCTGGGGCTATTTTTTTTTAGGTTGTCTTCTCATGTCCTTGAGGCTTGCACTTAAGCTTTGTTGGGTGAAGCCAGTGTAGAGTCTAGAGATAATTTTGTATGGCTGCTTATTTTTTTTTAAATCATCTGAGTGTTCTGCCCTATTCCTTGTAACTATGAAGTTTTCCTTTCAGGTTGGTGAGCTAGGGAACAAGAGTCTCCTTCCAGCTCTGTGTGAGCTCGCTGATTTTGTCCCCTGGCCTTGACACCTGTCCTCACGCACCTGTGCTCAGCAGTTCTCAGGTGACGTGCTCTCAGGTCACTGAGATCTCTCAGTGGCATCTGATGCACTCGTTCTGCGCAGTGCGCTGCCCAACCTTCTGGACTCCTTGGTTTCTGCTTTTCCCAGCCTTGCCTCAACTCATGGAGACTACCTGTTCTGTGGCTTCTTCTCCTCCCGGTGCTGTGGCCTGTCAATAAGTGAGGACAACTAAATAAACTAGGGTTCTCCTGCATTCTCAAGGATCACTATCCCTTGCTACTTACGTTTAGTGTTTGAAAGTCATCGTTTCATATGTCTTAGGATATTTGCTAGTCTTTTTCATAGGCAAAGGTAAATCTGACCCTGTATCTCCAATCTCTGTCAGGGCCAGAAATAAACCACTTTGTGGAGTTTATTTTGTGTTGTTTTTGGTGCCAGTATTAGGGCTTCAGCTTAGGGCCTGGGTACTTCGCTGAAGTTTTGTGCTCAAGGCTAGTACTCAGCCATTTGAGTCACTATTACACTTCTTGCTTTTTGGTATTTAATTGGAGATAAGCATCTCAAGGGTTTCCTACCCAGGTTTGTGTTGATCTGTGATCCTCAGATCTCAGCCTCCTAAGTAGCTAGGATGACAGGTGTGAGTCACCAGTGCCTGGCTCTTTAGTCACCTTTTGCCCCTAACACTTAGCTTCACATTTGGAACATGTATTAGCTTTATTTTGGGTTTTCTCTGCAGTGCCTGAGGATTCTCCATACCTTTTCTCTGATAGACTACATTCATTAGATTTTTGTCACTGTGCAAGATAAACTACTTAAAGAAGGAAAGAGGTTTTCTTGGCTCAGTTTCTGAGGTTTCAGACCATGGCTCCAAGACTCTTAAGGCTATGGCAGTGTAGAAACATCATGGTGGAAGGACAGGCTGGAGGAAAGCTGCTCATCTCCTGGCAGTCAGAAAGCAGAGAGAGAGAGGGCCAGGAAGGCTCTGAGGACTATCTGTATCCCTCAAAGGCACAGCCCCAATGGCCTTACTTCTTCTACAAGTAGGCCCTGCTTCTGCTCCCACTGATGCCGTCAGATGATGATGATGATGATTTATTTTTTCTTGGTGATTAATTTTTTAAATCTTCAAATACTTGTACAAAGGGATTATCATTGTCTGTTTATTTGTCCGCTACATCTTGATCAGTTATTCCTTCCATCATTCTTCTGCATCCCTTTTACTCTTCCCTCCGTCTCATCAGGTTTCCTTTTTCACTATGTACACTGAGTGTTACGACTGTATTTATCCTCCTGTTTCCTGACAGCAACTCCACCTCTCTTCAATATTGTTCTGCTTCCTGTACTCATTTTGTTAAACTGCTAATTGTTCAGCTCCCTCCATGGAGTTTTACTCCTGCATATACTATACTTTAGTCAGCTTAATTGTGTGCATAAGCATGTGCCCCTGTGTGTGCTTACATGGGATGTTTTGTGGAGAGAAAAAAATGTGCTCTTTGTCTTTCTGGGCTTGGCTTACTTCACTCAGTATGATTTTATTTCCCAGATTCATTATCTATTTCCCAGAAAATGACATAATTTCATTCTTCCTAAATGCCCTCAGATTTTGAGTCTACTAATGAATTAATCTATTGATGGGATTAGAGCCATCCAATCACTTCCTAAACATCCATCAACTGGCCATTGGGCCTTGAGCACACGAACGTTTTTGGAGATAGTTCAGCCAACCATAACCCAGATCTGCACTTCTCCCTCCTCATCCCTAACTCCTGTTCCTGATGCTTGTCAGAGTCTCTTTTTTTTCTCCTGGTCAGCTCTGGTGTCTTTTCCCTGCTGTTCCTGCCCCCCTTTTAAAGGAGGAACTGAAGCTTTCCTTTTCTCCCTATTATGTTTCTGTCATACCTAAAACAGGGTTTTTTGTTTTGTTTTGTTTTGTTTGTTTGTTTTTGTTGGTTCTGGGGCTTGAACTCTGGGCCTGGGCGCTGTCCCTCAGCTCTTCAGCTTAAGGCAAGCACTGTACCACGTGAACCACAATGCTAATTCTGGTTTTCTGGTGTTTATTGGAGATAAGAGTCTCATGGACTTTTCTGCCTGGGCTGGCTTTGAACCATGATCCTCAGATCTCAGCCTTCTGAGTAGCTAGGGTTACAGGAGTGAGCCACCAGCACCTGGCTGAACCAGGTTTTTAGTGTTGAATTGTATATCACATTCTGGCCTTCCTGTGGAGTGTGCATGCTTTTGTTGTTGCCATCCGTTCGTGTCCGTCTGTCGTTCCTACACACACACACACACACACACACACACACACACACCCATACCACCAGTAGTGTTCAGCTCTGAGAGGCAGAGGTGGAGCATTGTACATAGGTCTGAGGGAAGATGATATGGAGACAAGGCATACAATAATATATGTCTGTTAAAATGAATTGTTTTTCTCCTCTTCCCCAACCTTTCCTACAAATCAGGCCACGGAAGAAGTTTCCAAAAATCTGGTTGCCATGAAAGAAATTCTCTATGGCACAAACGAGAAGGAGCCACAGACAGAAGCAGTAGCTCAACTTGCTCAAGAATTATACAATAGCGGGCTCCTTAGCACCCTGATAGCTGATTTACAGCTCATTGACTTTGAGGTAAGAAATCAGTTTCTTAATTTTCAAAAACAGAACATGGTACTTTTCTATATATTCTCTCAGAAAATCTTAAGATTCCTGTTGGCTCAGGGCTTCCTGACCTCTAAGCATAGGGCTGTCTACTTCATTGGCGTAACCAGGGCAGATATTCACAAGTGTCTCAAGCCTAACCAGGGTTTTCCCTCTCTTTCCTCACATTGAATGTAGAGTTCTTAAGATGTTCACTGTGGCCTTTCAGTTAGGCTACATTTCCTTAGTACTTGCTCTTTGGAGTGAGATCACATCATTTACTAATGTCTTCTGCTCTTCAAGTATAAGCAGTTTAAAGATGATAGAATATTAGAATTTTAGAGCTAGAAATCTGAGAGAAAGTCCATTACAACAGAGATCATATGTGTTTTTATTTGGCACTGCTTTCAAACTTTAAATTAGGGTAATGTTTAGTAGATTTTACTCATAAGTCTGGATTTCTGTCTTCTTGGAAAATTTGACTCTGGTATTGTTAGGCCTCTTAACTAGAATAGAACTATAACCCAGAGCTTTCACACTTGGGTTTTGCTGTAGGCAGCTTGCCTGCTCTTTATGTCTGGGTCCACTTATTTGCATCTCCTGCCCAGACCTGGTAGGCATTTGAGTGAGTTAACCAGCTTACACAGCTGGATTATGTCATGTTGGATATTCAGTGAATTTAGCAGTCCTCAATACCAGTTTGAATAAAGAAATATGCATGGTAATAAAGCCCTCTGGCAGCTTCCTCATCTCAGAAAGTTTCCTCCAGTTGTCACAAGTGTGCCTTGTTATCAACCTCAGTGATTAGACGTCTCTGCAGGTGCTTAAAAGATAGATGTGCGTTCCATGGGGAAACATGACAGGACTCAGATTAAATGGAGAGGATGGAGGAGAGGGTGTGGTTTATAGTTTGCTTGAATAATACTGACAGTAAAATAAAATAGAAATTTACATTTGTCCTACTGAAGAGCAGATAGAACAAAGATACTTCTGTGTATATAGCTGATCTCATGTATTTTTAATAGTTTATCCAATTCTAGCAACAATTTCTATTTTCTCTAATAAGAGCCTGTCCTTGGTCTACATCCACCTGTCTCACCCCCTAAGCTGAACTCCGAATTTATTGTTCATTTGGCATCAGAAACGTCAATTTAAAGAAGAGTGTATGTGCCCTTGACACTGTTTCATAGAGATACCATTACTGTATTTGAGTTAACATGGGCCCCAGAATGATCTCTCTGTTGTTTTAGGTTGAGTGCTGAAAAGCTTCCTTTTCACAGACTTTTTTATGGGTTTGTCAGTAGCCTAGGCACTGGTGGCTCACACCTGTTATCCTAGCTATTCAGGAGGCGGAGATCTGAGGATCAATTTGAAGCTACCCCAGGCAGGAAAGTCCATAAGACTCTTACCTTCAGTTATCCACCAAAAAGCAGGAGTTGAGGTATGGCTCAAGTGGTAAAGCACTAGCCTTAAGCAAAAAAGCTAAGGGACAGGGCAAGCCCTGAGCTCAAGTCCCAATACTGGCACAAAAATTGGGGCCGGGGGGGAAGGGTGCATTCTGAATCATCACTTGGGATCTGGTTGTCCACTTGTTAATTTCTTACTCAGTTTTCCGGTTGCAAGGCTCTCTAAATGGTATCTGTCTGATACAGAGGTGTTAGAAAGTTCTTATCTACTGCATCATGTGATACTCTAGTGCCTTTGTTTATTAATCTATTTCAACTTTTCTTAAGTGACTTAGTTTAAGAGGGAGATTTGCCTGCTTGCCATTAAAGCTCTATTTCTTACGGAATTTTCTCACTTTGTTATGGCAGAGTACAATGTGTATCCCCTACTTCCATCACCCTGAAAAAAAGCTTACGCATCATTCATAGTATGAACATCCCATTTGATGCTGTAGATTCCACACGGTGGGACTCACATCTATGTAGATTGTAAGCATAGAGCAACATTTGGTTTTCATATCTGGGTCAGCATGATTCTGAGAGTTAGAAATGGTTGAAATTACTTGTAGGATATAGTAAGATTTTACTTTGTCTACACTTTGTGCTAAAAATAGGACACTTTATTTTAAAACTTTGGAATTATAAATTGAAATGTAAATGTCTATGAATGTTGTAAAGACAATATTCAATTTTAACTATAAGTATACAATGGCTGTCTTGGACTTTATTTTGGAGGGTGATTGGGCATTTTCATGTTTAGTCAGGTAAATATTTTAATGATTGTATTCCTAATAGGGCAAAAAAGACGTGGCTCAAATTTTCAACAATATTCTCAGAAGACAAATTGGTACAAGAACTCCTACTGTTGAATACATCTGCACCCAACAGAATATTTTGTTCATGTTATTGAAAGGGTATGTACAATGTAATAAAATTTATGTTCTTAGTTGAAAACAAAAAGGAAAGATTGCCTTGGGTAAAAACAGGATGGTGAAGGTGGGAGGCATCTTCTCTGTGATATAGAGACATCCTTTTTCCATAGATCACGAATGCATTTCTCTCCTTAAAGTTCAACCTACGGGCGGGCTACATTAAGGTTAAAATGCCCTAAGTTTAAAATTTGGTGAATTGTGCGCCTTTATAATCACAAATCAAATATAGCTAAAGGAAAGGAAAAGGTCTTTCAAGGCCTGTTTCTTGTTTTCTAGGATTCAAAAGGTTGAGTTTTATCAGAATATTTATTTTAAGACATCTTCTTTGCACCCTGTCTGCACTCTGCAAGCAAAAACCTCCTATAAACCTCCTATTATAGATGGCTTGCATCTATAATCCTAGCTGGTCAGGAGGCTGAGATCTGAGGATCATGATTTGAACAAAGCACAGGCAGACAAATCCAAGATTCTTACACCCAGTCCTCCACCAAAAACCTAGAAGTGGAGCTTTGTTTCAAATTAGTGCCAGTGTTGAGCAAAGAAAGCTCAGGTTCTTAAGTTCAAGTTTCATTACTGGTGCACGCGCATGCACACACACAGAGACAGCACCTGTAGTTGTGCACAGCTTCATTTCAATCAGTATGGTTATGTGTGAGTTTCTCCTGTATGAGCTGTCACTAGCCCACTTTGTTTTGCCGTTCATACTGAGTCTTCTCAGAATTACTACTGGACTAGTCAGGCATTTGTGACTGGGTAGTCTGTCTACTTTAAAAACAAAACCCTAAGACCAGAAACTTAACAATAGAAAACAAGCCCTCTCCCTCCTCACTAAGCCTCCCTGACCGTTCACCTCTTGTTGGTCTCTGCCAGTTGTCTGCCAGCTGTGGCTGTGCTGTGCTTCTGTCTGTCCAGACACTGGCAGTGTTGTATTAAATAACTGGTGGGCAAGTATGTTACTGGCATGAATGGTGGCGTGAATCAGCTTGCTCCCCCAGCCCTGGCTTTGCAGCTTGCCTCATTCTGATTCCTATCTCTGTGGTTTAATAACACTTCCCCCAAGTTCAAACTTGTTTAGACAAAGCATGAGTGTGCATGCCAGCATTCTGTTTCCTTCTTTCTTCTACTTACCATCCAATCAGTGCTCCTTCAGATGGGGCCAAACAGAATTTTGGGCATCTGATTTTTTGTTTCCTCAATTCAGTGTTGCTGTGTAAACCTGCAGTGAGCATGAAATTTTGGTGGCCATACACTAGCTTCCAGCTTTGGTTTTTGGTTTGGGCAGTTCTGGGGTTTGAACTCAAGGTCTTGTGCTTGGTAGAAAAATGCTCTACTGGTGAGCCATGCTTCCAGCCTTTATTTGCCCTAGTTATTTATAAAATAGGGTCTTCCTGCTTGGGCCACATCCCACCTATTTTAGGCCCTCCGGTCATAGCTAGAATAACAGGTTTGTGCCTCATTAACTTTTCTGCCCTGACCACAAACTCTGATCCTCCCAGTCTTCCAAGTAGGTCAGATTACAAGTATAAGCCACAGCTTCTAGCCTCTTTATGTATTTTTTAAGCCATTATTTTTCCTTTGCATAGAAACTAATGATTTATATTAAAATATATAAATTAGGGGCTGGGAAGGTGGCTCAGTGGTAGGGTGCTTACCTTGCATGCATGAGGCCCTGGGTTCGATTCTTCAGCACCACATAAGCAGAAAAAGCTGGAAGTGGCACTGTGGCTTAAGTGGTAGAGTACTAGCCTTGAGCTGAAGAGCTGAGGGACAGCGCCCAAGCCCAGAGTTCAGGCCCCACGACTGGGGCGGGGAGATACATATATATACATACATACATATACACACACACACACACACACACACACACACACACACACACATTAGTTAACCCTTCCTATGATTTCACTTTACCATAGACCAAGCTTTGGTATAAATACTGTTAGGATTTTGAGATAGAGTTTAAACTTTAAACCTTGCATCTGCTGGCCAGAGCTGCAGCCTCATCCAGATATAGAAGATGAAAAGCATGAAGAATAGAGCCAGGCTTAGACCTCACCCCTGCCTTCCACCTCTCAGCGTCACCACGGTCACTGTTGTGCAGCTGCAGGGAGGAACACAACAAACCCTTCCCTGCCCACAACCCCATTCATTAGTATACTGCCACTTGTGCTCATTCTAGTTGATTCCTTCATTTCCTCCTCACAGAGGACTTGATTTCAAAGTGCATCCCTAATCCAGAATGTACAGTACAGTGCCTCAGACAGAGCAGTGTCACATTATAGTCACCTAACAGTATCTAACACCTAGTCCATGTCATATTTCCATGACTTTCACTAAAACAATATGTAAACCAGATACTAAACAAGATCTACAAACGGGGTTTGATTGATACAGCTTTGGCTCTCTGCTAGTCTGTAATAGTTGCTGCATCCCTTACCCTTTTAGCCTATGCCATCTGTTGAAGCAACTGAATCATTTGTTTAATAGAAAAATTACATAGTTCAGCCAGGTGTGGTGGCACACACCTATATACTCTCAGGAAGCAGTGACAGGAAGACCACAAGTTCCAGGCCAGCGTAGGCAGCATGGTGAGACACAGTCTTAAAACACCAAGGGGTAGGGATATAGCTCAGTGATAGAGTCTTCGCATAATGCCCAGAGTTCAACACACAGAACAGCAACCAAAGAAATAAAACAGAAAGCCTGCAATTTGGACTTAGATTCCTATAGTTTCAGTCAACATTTTTCGCTAGCCCCTATTCTTGAAGTTGATGGTTAGACACAGATTTGCCTAGAGGGGGTGCCAGTGTGCTTCCTTCTGGGCGACACTGGTTGTCCCACTTGGTAAAATTTAGATTGCCCATTGTATACAGGTGTCATTAGACTGTAATCTGTTCATATGACCTTCTCTTATCCACCTAATGCTTTTAATATCCACTGAGGATCTTTGTCTACTTCAAAATGACAGTTGGCTACCATTACTATTCTATTACTTCTTCTATAATTAAATATGTTTGTTCTGTAAAGAACTTCCTTTTGATGACTTAGCCCCAAAATACAATTTGTATGGGAAAGATTGATGTCCTGGTTTCAGTTGTATTAGTTGATATACTAACTACTTCCTTAGTAATCATTGAGTATGTATGCCATTGAAATATTGAAACATTGTTACTAAATAACTTTTGTTATTTAAAAAATATACTGAATCCAGGCGCTGGTGGGTCACACCTGTAATCCTAGTTACTCAGGAGGCTGAGATCTGGTTCAGTCAGGTTCAGTCAGGATGGGCAGAAAGTCCATGAGACACTTATCTCCAGTTAACCAGCAAAAAGGTAGAAGTGGTGGTATGGCTGAAGTAGTAGAACACCAGCCTTGAAGCTAAACAAAAAAAAAAAAAAGCTAAACAAAAAGTTCAAGGCCCTGAGTTCAAACCTTAGTATTGACACAGGGAAAAATATATCTACACACATACTAGATGTGTTTCAGGCATTGCTGTTTTATGCCCACATTGTCCCAATTTAGGCTGTTGAAAATTCCTTCAGGTTGCCTCCTGTATTCTTTTTGGCAAAGCCTCATCAGTCTGTGATAGCTTTCTTGCTTTCTGGCATAGATGATCACTTAACTCATTTGTATGGTTTCTGCCAGATCTGTAAATAGCCATTTCTTTAAGGATTCCTATGAACTACCTTTTAAGATGATGTACAATGTTGATTGCCTTCTTAGGCTATAAGACCCTCTTTGGTGTTAGATATTTTGGTGCTTATAGCAATGTTTATTTGAGGTCTTACTGCTAGCATTGTACTGCATTTAGAGAAAACTGGGTGGGGTTTTTTCCCGGCAATTTAAATGTTAATGTGCTCTCTGGTCTAGCGCTAGCAGGTTGTGTGGCATAACTGTTTGCCTTGTACTTATTGGCTTATGGTTTAATCATTTAGACAGACTTGACAAACTGCCACCAAAACCTGCCCAACTTGTTGTACTAAACTATCTTACCCTTGTCCCTGCTCATTAAAGATAAGCAAAGATGAATGAGATGAGCAGACATTTTGTGAACAGATATTTTAATTACATTTAATAAGAGCCAGTCGGCATGCTAACTGCCAGTGGACATAGTTTCACCCTTGTAGAGGATCTGTGGTGATCATAGGTAGGACAAAAGGGTAAGATAGTTTGATAATTAGTGCTACAAAATTTCAGAGGATAAATGTGGGCTTGAGTTAGAAGGCCAGAGTTGGTTAAAAAAGAAAAGAAAATAAAAAGAAAAAAAAGGCGGGGCGAGGGTGGTGAGGGGGGGTGAAGACTTAAACTCAGAGTTACGGAGGATTTAGAATTTGTGTAAGCTGGAAGGAAAGGAAGTATTTTAATGGCATGTGACTGGGAACAGAGATCCAAGGGCAAGCGTGGACACCACGTGCTTGCAGCAAAATGTGAACACTTTATGGAACGGTATGAGATGACGTTGTACTAAAGTAGTATGTATACCTAGTAAAGGGAAGACTGGAGATCAGGCCCAGAAGTCTGTTTATTTGCCTGGCAGGAAATGATAAGTTCTGGTGAGCATGTGTGTTAGGTTGACTGGCTAAGACAGAATTTGAGCAAAGACACTGGTTAGGAAGATTCGCAGTCCTTGTGAACAAGGTTTGAGTTAATGCAGCAGTGGGGCTGGAAGAGAAGGAAATGAAACTAAGATACTTCAAAGAAATGTAGAAGAGGCCTGCTGACGCTGCAGACAGAAGAATGGAGTGAAGAAGGGGAGGTTTAGAACTATGCTGTCCCATAAAGTTGCAACAATATATAGTGACTTTATTAAATAACATCGACAGTTCAGCCCTTCGGTCTCGCTAGCCAGAATTCCAGCACTCAGTAGCCTCGTGTTCCTACTGACTACCAAAGTGAATATCAAAGGTGCAGGGCGTTGCTACTGTCACAGCAAGTGCTATCAGACCAGGTTTAGACCTCAGTATCTGAAACACAGTCATGATGCCAACTCGCAGAAATGAGGATGCGGGGAATCTGGGGCTTACTTTGTGGAGGATTGAAATTTCAGGTTAGACTTGATGACTTCTAACTGAAGATGTCCAGAGACAGCAGAAAAAGCCCACCTACAGTCAGGAGTAGACTGGACAAAGGGAAATTTGGAAGTCCTGGTGGGAATCTTAAGTCATAGGGTCTTTCCATAGCAGGTCAGAGAGAGGCATCCATAAAGACCTTAACAAGGCAAGTAATAGGAACCACAGGAGGGACAGAAAGGATAACCGGGAGACATTTTTACTTCTCTTAAGAGGGATGTGCAAGGGGAGCTGGAGGCATAGCTCAAGCCATAGAGTACATGCCTAACAAGTATAAATCCTGAGGTCAAATCCCAGTACCAGAATGAGGAATGGGGCATAGGTGCAGGGCTGGGAATGTGGCCCAATGGTAGAATGCTTGTCTAGCATTCATGAGGCCTGGACTCAGTACTCATCCCTGGGAGGGCAAAGAAGGAGGGGGACACATTTGCCCTGTTGGAACACAAAGTAGAAGGATCTTTGTTATGAGAAAAGATCACTTGTCTTAGCTAAGAGGAAGTCTTTGCTGGCCAAATAGCTATTTCACTAGAGTATGGGGAAATGGAATTTGATTGCAAGAGACTACAGGAGTGAGTTGGGAAAGGAATTAAGGCAACATGTGCAGCATGAAAGAAAGTGAGTGGAAAGCAAGCGACCTGTGTGAGCAGCGGCTGAGTTCAGTGAGAGGACTTGGCGCACAACAGAAGAGAGGCCCCACTTCATGGAGGCTGTCGTTCTGATCTCGGGGAAGAAGAGCTGAGATGCCAAGCTGGCAGCATAGGGAGGTTGTATTGCAGAGCTGGCGAGGAGCTGGGGTCCAGTGTTCCCTGGATTCTCTACGATGGAGGTGCTTTGTGAAGCCCCCAGGACAAGACTTTCAATTTCACTTTCAATTTGCCAAGAGCCTTGAAGAACTGTTTGGACTATTGACTTGAAATAACAAAGTGTAAATTGGATATACCTAATTTTTGATAAACCTATTGTTATAATGAATTTCTGAGTTGGAAGAATATTGTAGCTTGAGCAGTGAACTTCATTTCACACAGGCACTCTTGTGGCTGTTTTTCCTTGTTGAAGGCACCACCCACACCCACTGTGTGCAGTCTCTAAAGAAAATTCCTTTGAGCCCAGACTGTACTCAGAGAAACAACTTTTGTAACCTTACATTGGGTGGTCACTTGGTTTAGGCACATCTGAAACTCCTGTGGAAAAAGTTTGAAACATTCACCTGTAGAGTTTCTGAGAGAGCAATCATGTTTGGCATTTTTGTTTTTGTTTTGTTTTTACAGGTATGAGTCTCCAGAAATAGCTCTAAATTGTGGAATAATGTTAAGAGAATGCATCAGACATGAACCACTTGCGAAAATCATTTTGTGGTCGGAACAGTTTTATGATTTCTTCAGATATGTGGAAATGTCGACATTTGACATAGCTTCAGATGCATTTGCTACATTCAAGGTAACATAGAGACTAGGATTATAAATGTATTGCAAGTCAGAGCAACCAGTGTGAGGTTTCCTAATCTCCTATGTCTTCCTAGACACAACTGCCCTCTAGTGGGAAGAAAGAAGCTGTATTTCATATGTGTTGGTATGATTAGGTATTTTTAGTGACACTATAGCTTTAAAAATATGGAAAAATTAGATTTTAAAGTCTGTCCAAAAAAGAGAAAGAGTCCTGAATGGGTAAAGCTAGAGTTTTCTGTTAAACTACCTGCTAAGTACTATGTACAGGTACACAGTCACCCAACAACCAGATATTTTTCATGTCGGGATTGGGTAGCAGATTTCTTTTGTTTAGGAGCCATGTTAATCTGGAATATACATGTCATTAAATACCAGAAGCATATTTATGACAGAGATAGCCACAGTGTTGACAGGCCAGGGGAGCCCACATCCCGCCCTGCCTGAACGAGTGCCCCACCCCCACCCCTTATATACAACCTGAAATGGCCACTTTTCTTGCAAGAGTTCATTGTTATGGTTATACAGAGCCCACAAAATAATAAGTTTGGGCTCTGGTAAAAAATATACATATATATATATGTGTGTGTGTGTGTGTGTATACACACACACACACATCTACACACCGCAGTGACTGAACACTGAGATTAAGATGAAGGATTAGAGACTGCTCATCAGGGTTTCATCTTGAATGAGAATAAGGTCATAATGTAAGGGCTGCCAGGGATATGTTCTCCAAAACCATTAAAAGAAGATGTCAGAAGCCTTAGGTAAGACCTCAGACACTTACTTATAGATGTCAATGTGCAAAGCAAAGTGAAAAGAATTTGCGATTATAACCTAGAGTGCTCACTGTGATGTCTTAGACCCCTGCAGTGTTGGGCTAGGACTGATGATTAGAATGCATTGGTGGAAGGGAGTGCCCCATTCGGGAGCAGCAGCCCAGCATGAGGGAGGTGTAGTGTGGTGCCTTGTGTCAAGGAGAAAGTGCCCAGTGTGGAAGGACAGCCAGGATCCCGAGAGTGGCAGCACTCTGGATGATGAGGGTGAGGGAAGAGGATTGAGGAGCAGCAGTGGTGTGGGAGCATGCAGCCAGACCCCTGGCCCTGTGGAGGACATGGATGGCATGCTCTTGGCACAGATGCTCTCATTGGCTCCAAGGTGAGAGAAATGTGCTGGCTACATGCCGGAAATGTGATATCTGACAGTCTTGACCGGTTTTGCTGATGTTTTCTTCTCAAGTGGGATTACTTCTTTCAGTTCTTTCTCACCAAGGAGAACATGATGAATTCACTGTGGGTTACACAGTCCTGGCAAATCTTTGTAAAGTAAAGGACTGGGTAGAGCCAGGCAGATGGTCCAAGGAAGCTCTGGAAGAGAGCTGGGGAGGCTGACCTGGCTTCTGTATCTCAGGTGCTTCTCTGATTGTGAAGACAGCAAGAGCTCGTGAGAGGCCCTTGATCAGAGACCTCCCCAAGAAATAGAATGCAAGACAGTGTGTAAGAGGAGGCACAGGCCTACCACCTAATCTCAGGTGCCTAAATACCAGACAGAGCTCCCTCCCCACCAATAAGCTAATTGCAGGGAGAATTCCCATCAGGCTCAGCACTGCCACACAGCAAAGACATAGTGAAGAGGGAAGGGAGAGCCAGTCCTCCTGCCTTGCTGGTGCTTTTCTAATGAAACAGGAGAACAAATCTGTCCCATATTCTCCTCTGAGAATGAGCAAGAACTGCCCGGCCCCCCCACTCCCCAACTTGAATGGGTGATACTGGAGTAGTAAACCAGACAGTCAAAAACTTGCTAATGAATCCTGGTTTTCTTTTGAAGAATTAGAAAGTGGAGAAGTTTTCCAAAATAAAGAATGATAGATTTCCCCAGGAAGGCTGGTCGAATTTGGAGCGTGATGTTATACCCATGTGAAAGTCTAGAAAGCATCTCTCCAGAGATGACTTGTGAGCATTTTGGAAAAGAGCCCATGTGCCCACAGACACATGAATTCATTGAGAGTGAGTTCAGTCATCCTCATCTCATACACGCCAGTATGTCATGGGCTGAAGGACAAGCTCCACTATGGATTTAACTTGCGTCTCCATCTGTTAAAATGTGAAGGGTTTTATACATTTCACAGTCTCATGCAGTAAACAAGTTGCTGTTGATGATTCCTTCATGACAGTTGAGGACCCCAGGCCGTGAATAGTTAATTCTCCACAAGTCTGTTCTCTTGGAAAGAGTAAATGATAAACTAGATGAAGTTTCAGCAGAGTGATTCACAACTAGTTGAATTAACCCACGCATTGTTGGCACATGGATTTCCATTGCCCTGGAGAGAATTTTCTAGCAATCTCCACAGGGTTCACCTAGTCCAGCTGAATATTTTAATTAATAAGTAGAGAGTGACAAGGCATACTTAACAAAGATAAGATATAGGCCCTAATATGAAGGGAAAGATGGGTGTTAACAGTGGGCCCTAAAATTAAGATGGCCCAGAGAATGTCTAGAGGATAAGCATAAATGCAGAAGCCTGAGGTCTTCCCACCTGAAGAATCACCTGTCTAAATACACGGCTGGGAAATGAGGCATACTAACAATAAACACTAAATGAGTAACTGTTCAATGTAATCATTACTAGAATACATTGTAGTACTATGTCAGGCACTGAGTACTGAAGTTTAACAGTCTTTTTATCAGGTCACAGGGCATGGGATGGTTTAGGATTCTATTTTCTAAATATTGATAAACAACTATAAAAATAAATTTTTTTTTCTAGGATTTACTTACAAGACATAAATTGCTCAGTGCAGAATTTTTGGAACAGCATTATGATAGAGTAAGTATATGAAACAATACTTTTAAATAACAGATTGTAACTATTCACACCAGAAATGAAAGTCATAACATAGATTTTGTACAGAATATTGATCCTGACTGAAAGTTTGTAGGTGGTACTGTAACCACTTGCCTACAGAAACTCTGTAGTATGACTTGGTCAGAAGCAGAATTTGATCTTTTTGTCTGACACTGTCCTTTGCCTCTTGTCTTACTTTAGAAGAGGAAAGTGGGCATTTTGCTGCTGAATGATAATACAGTTAAGATAAAATAACTATTATCTGACTTTTTAACTTTTCCTTCCTTTTCCATCAGTTGCTGCATTCAAATAGAGAGAAAGGGAAGCAGCAACAGATAGAATGCAAGCCTGGGCCTGGGGGGAGGACCCGGCTCTGCTCCTGATAGAATGTGAGCGCTGGCCTGGGGGGCAGGACCCGCCCCAGCTCTGCTCCTGCAGCACTGCTAACTCCTTTGTGGCCACTACTGGGGACTTAGAAGTCCTCCCCTATTTGTAAAATGAGGACATTGGACTAGCCCATCGGTAAGGTCCCTTTGAGCTCTGAGTCGGTGTCAGATGTAATGGTGACCCTTAGAGACCCCAGAGAATGAGTGCTCTGATGCCTTGGTGCCTGGTGAGCCACACACCTGGGCTGCAGTGTCTCGGCGTGGTTCTCTTTCCACACTCCCACTCAGCTTTTCTCCCTCCCGAGGCTTCCTTCAGTACCCACAGCACTCACAGTACTTTTTCATCTGAGTCTAGGATCCAGTAGCTGCTCTTAGAGACATGAGAACAGTAACACTCTGCTCAAATTCCTAAATATCCCACCAGATAGGGCTTAAGCTTTACTCTTCCACTCACCTACTGCTACCAGTAGTTTGAAATCTTAAGTGCTGTTAATACTTCATTGTTTGCTTTCCTGTTCAACTAAATTGTAAGATTCTTGGAGGCACACATCTCTGTTTCTTTGTTCTTGTGTGTTCTTCCTCCTGGTCTGTTCTGGATTCTGCTCCCAGCAGCATCGTAACACATTGCTGAGTACATACACACTGGATCCTCATAGTCAGTGCTGAGTGCATACTACACCCTCATAGACTGACAGTGCTGAGTGCACACTACATCCTCATAGTCAGTGCTGAGTGCACACTACATCCTCAGACGGTCAGTGCCGAGTGCACACTACATCCTCAGACCGTCAGTGCCGAGTGCACACTACATCCTCATAGACAGAGATGAATGCACACTGCATCCTCAGTCAGGGGTGAGTGTACACTGCATTGTCAGACAGGGCTGAGTGCACACTACCTCCTCAGACTGTCAGTGCTGAGTGCACACTACATCCTCATAGACAGGACTGAGTGCACACTGTATCTTCAGTGCTGAGTGAGCACTATGTCCTCATGGACTGCCAGTGCTGAGTGTGCACTAGGGCCTCATGGACCGTCAGTGCTGAGTGCATACTACATCCTCATAGATGGTGCTGAGTGTGCACTAGGTCCTCATGGACCATCAGTGCTGAGTGCATACTACATCCTCATAGACAGTGCTGAGTGTTGCACTAGGGCCTCATGGACCGTCAGTGCTGAGTGCATACTACATCCTCATAGATGGTGCTGAGTGTGCACTAGGGCCTCATAGACGGTGCTGAGTGAACACTAGGTCCTCAAGGACCGTCAGTGCTGAGTGCATACTACATCCTCATAGATGGTGCTGAGTGTGCACTAGGGCCTCATAGACGGTGCTGAGTGAACACTAGGTCCTCAAGGACCGTCAGTGCTGAGTGCATACTACATCCTCATAGATGGTGCTGAGTGTGCACTAGGCCCTCATAGACGGTGCTGAGTGTGCACTAGGTCCTCATGGACCGTCAGTGCTGAGTGCATACTACATCCTCATAGATAGTGCTGAGTGTGCACTAGGGCCTCAAAGATAGTCAGTGCTGAGTTAACAGCTGCCTTCTTCAAAGAAGCCATTAGATAACAGAGGGGAGGGGGGGTGGGGGTGAGTGGTAAAGCCTATGAGATGGAGCTGAATGTAGCGAGGCTTAGTTATTGCCATGTGGTCTCAAAACATTTTTTAACACACTGGTATGTCTTCATTTAACACCTGCCAAAGATATAGGCTAGCTAGCTCCTTTCTAAGTTTACTATAGGCAGTGAAATCAGTTGAATGTTGCAGTAAAAATAGTTTCCTACATATTAGGATGAAATGAGTTCTTTAGAAAAATACATATAATGCACTCAGAGCTGAGGGAAAAGGAAAGGGGGAATGTGTAAAAACAAAGACCAAAAGTGCTTGCTCTAGCATCCTGAGTTTCCCAATAAAATACAAAGGGAAAGCCAGATGCCAATGGCTCACACCTGTAATCCTAACTACTTAAGAGGCTGAGATCTGCAGATACCGGATTGAAGCCAGCTTAAGCATGAAAGTCCGTAAGAGTTTATCTCCAGCTAACCACCAAAAAGCCAGAACATGGAGTTCAAGTGGTGGAGAGTACTAGCTTCAAGTAAAAAAGTGCAAGGCCCTGAGTTCAAGCTCTACTACCAGCACACTGGATGGATGGATGGATGGATGGATGGATGGATGGATGGATGGATGGATGGATGGATGGATATAATTAAAAGATGAAAAGATTTGTAAATTAAAATATATACTGTTGCTCAGAAGTAGCGTAGCATTTTTAGCACAGGGACCTGAACCATGCTTCTCCTGTTGACACTTTAGGAGGAGTCAGACTACAACCATCTTGAGGGTGGCTGAGAAGGGCCCCGATTGCGGAGAGGATGCCCTGCTCTGTTACCTGCCCTCTGTCCTTGCGCAGAGCACGCCTGGCCTAGCTGGGGCAAAACATGACCAAACACATTCTCTTAAGCAGTTCCTTGTGAAAATCATTTCTTGGAGCAAGTTTATCCTAAAAAATTACAGAAAACCCAAGTTTCTGTTGAGAATTTTAAGTACATGTTGTATGTTACTGATTAAAGGCAGGTCCAGCCGCTTTGATCATCAGCTTGATGATTACTTAAAGAGAAAGGAGGGTCAATAGCCCTTTCTGAAAAAAGCAGTTCTAACTTGTTAGATGGCCAGCCCCGGCTCTGCCTTTAAAGTAAGTAAAAGAAGTAGGCAGACAGTAAAATTCTTTTTTTTTGGTTGGGGGGGGGGGTGGTCCTATCATGGGGCCTGAACTCTGGGCCTGAGCGCTGTCCCTCGGCTCTTCAGCTCAAGGCTAGCACTCTATCACTTGAGCCATAGTGCCACTTCCGGCTTTTTTTTCCTGCTTATGTGGTGCTGAGGAATCGAACCCAGGGCCTCATGCATGCAAGGCAAGCACTCTACCATTGAGCCACCTTCCCAGCCCCCAGACAGTAAAATTCTATCTGAAATGTCTATTAGAAAGCAAGGCAGATAGAGATAGTCAACATCTGAGGCCTTTTGGGCTTATGCAGACTCCTGCATCATACTGTGAAAGTCCCCGTAAACACTACATAAGGGCATATAGATGAATATTTGTGGACGCGCAGGTGCAAAACACTACATAAACAGTACATAGATGAACGTTTACAATAAACATGACAATGGCAGTTTCCAGTATGACTGTTTATAAAAACAGCAGGCTGGGACTGGGAATTTGGCTTAGTGGTAGAGTGCTTGCATGGCATGCATGAAGTCCTGGGTTTGATTCCTCAGTACCACATAAACAGAAAAAGCCGAAAGTAGTGCTGTGGCTCAAGTGGTAGAGCACTAGCCTTGAGCAGAGAGGCTCAGAGACAGTGCCCAAGCCCTGAGTTCAAGTCCCAGGACTGGCAAAAAAAAAAAATACAGGCTGGATGGATTTGGCCCAACCCCTGCTCTAACCTAGTGAGTGGCTAGTGGGGACTCGTCCTAAAGCATAGGCACAGATGGCTTTCCCAGGGGCAGAGGGCACCACAGCCAGTTCAGTCTCCGTGAGTACCAGAATCCAATAGCCATCTGATTCTGTGAGCTATTCAGCATTAAACAAGGACAAGCAAAAAATAACACACACCAAACCTTAAAGCCCACTAATCTTCTCTAAGAGCTAGGACCGCTGCGGCCCCTACGGGACCACCATTTCCATCCCTACTTCCCTGATTCATGCCTGCACCCACTCAGCATCAGCATTCCAACAGATTGTTGTCGGTGCTGCTATTTCAAAGACCTGGGTGGGTGCTCCTCAGATCTCAGCACAAGTCTCCTCTCAGCCTGTGCCTGCTGCTTCTCCCCCTGTCCTGAAGGGACCACTTCTCCAATTCTCACCTTCTCTAGGACCTCTGCCTGCTATCCCATCGCTGGATTGCATCGCTGATTATATTCTTTCCCTGCTAGGTACTTTGAAAAAAAAACAGGCTAACCTTTGTCTTTGTAGTGATGCTTTGAACAGATCAATTCTTTGGCCATTCAAAAAAAAGAGGAAGAATTTTGTAATCTTAACACCAAGAAATGAGCTGTGCCCTGACTGTGGAGAAACATTGTGGAAAGGGGATTGTGTTTTACGGGCATGGAGTTAGGGGTGACAGAAAAAGTGATCACAGCCGTCTCTGGGCGTGGCGGGATTCACCCCGGAAGGCCTCTGGATAGAGGGATCAGCACCCCTCCCCGGCCCTCTCAGAGCACTAGAGGAAGGTGTGGAGCCTAGCGGCAGGAGAGCTTGAGCAGCTGCCGAGTGCTTGGAGCCATCCTCGAGTGTCTTAAGTGTTACAAGCACATCTTTCTTTGTGGGTGACCCTGACATATGTTTTCTTGTCTCTTAGTTTTTCAGTGAATATGAGAAGCTACTTCATTCAGAAAATTATGTGACAAAAAGACAGTCACTGAAGGTATGACAGGTTATTTCCTTCCTTCATCTATTTCTCTTCATTGGGCTTGGGGAAAGGAAGGTGTGCTGGTGTGGCTTTAGACTTTTGGGGGGAAATGCATTTTGTCCATGGTCAGTACTCTTGCAGAAAAGAACAGGCTTTGACGTGGTCTGTTGCGGGGGCAGGGGGGGTAACCTGTTCCCAAAGGAGCAAGCACACAGAAGCTGGAAAAGGACATCTCCAGCAATACAGTGGTGTGGGTTTTGAGGTATACTTTAAAAACTAGAATCGTGCCAACTACATGAATACATCCCGGATGTGTGCCGCTGTGTATCAGGTCATGCTGCGCATAGTTCCCACTGAAACTTCCAAATGCTAAATGTACGATTGAAGCTACTCTAGAACAGAAGTTGACAAACTTCTTGGGTCAAATTCAGCCAACTGCCCATTTTTTGGAAATAAAATTTCATAGAACACAGACGTGTTTGTTCATTTACATATCATCTTGGCTGTTTCAGACTACAGGAGCATATTGGAATGGTTCTGCTAAAAACCACATGGCCTGCAAAGTCTAAAATATTTCCTGTTGCCCTTTGCAGAAAAGGTTTGCTGACCTCTGATCAGAAAACTCGTGTGGTGGTTTTTAAATCCATAACTACCACCATCACTCTATTCTCCCAAGCTGTCCTGAGAGGAACCATAGATGGATGACAGGGATTTAGGAGAAATACTATAACTCCATTTAAGAGCTTTGACAGATCCACTTTAAATACTGCTCTGCCCAGAGTTCTGCCCTCAGAAATGCCTGAACTCATACTGGTCAAGACTCCCAGCCTTCTTTCCTCCCAACCACAGGGGAAATCTCCCTTGAAGACATCTCTTTCTGTAGAAAGACACTAAAGACCCTAGGAGGCTAGGTAATGTGTTAGTAAGAATGCTGCGACATGCAAGTTTCCAGCCCTTCCCATCTGTCCAGCTCCTCCTTTTCCCTTAGGGTTCAGTAGGCAGGAATCAATACCAGTTATAGGTCACTATACTGACAACCGTGGCTGCTCCAGTTCTTTAATTCAAGCTGACACTAGTGGACAGAAATGACTAGTAACTTTTCTTTTGTTTTCTTAGGTAGTTTCTTTTTTTGTTGTTTTGAGACAGGATTTAAGTTGCCTCAGCTGCACTGAACACATGGACGGGCATTTAAAGAGGCGGCTCTGCCCGCCTCCATCCTGGCCAGGGGTGCCTTGTGTGCTTCGAGAACAGCATCTCCTTCCCACGGCCATTGTGTGGCGTGCACGCATGGTCATTGGGGGAGGTGGCACCCCACTGCCCGTATGTCACCCCTTAGTCGTCGGTTCATCTGTTTACGGTGCCCACAGATAGTTATTTTGAAATTTTCAGATCTGCTTCAAATCTTAATAGTAATGTAATTGTAACCATTGAAATGTTTTCTCAGCTTCTTGGTGAACTACTGTTAGATAGACATAACTTCACAATTATGACAAAGTACATCAGTAAACCTGAGAACCTCAAATTAATGATGAACCTCCTCCGAGACAAAAGTCGTAACATCCAATTTGAGGCCTTTCACGTTTTCAAGGTAGAGTATGCACACTGTGAATGATGTTTATCTCCAGAACTGTTCTCATCTCTTCTCAACTACAAATTATTGAATACTTGTCAGCCTTATTTTGAAAGCTAAACGACATAATTCAGTTTCCTTGTGTGGAACATTCCAGACAGGCCTAGAACTGAAGCATGCTATTTGGAAAGAAGAATGTGCAGGCAGAGTAGATGTTATCTGTCTGTAGCATAAATGGTTACTCATCACAGCAAAAAGGGTCTGACTATATAGCTCAGACTAACCTTCAATGCGTAATCCTCCTGCCGTGAGCCTCCTGAGGGCTAGATTATAGACGTGTGCAGCCATTCCTGGCTAAGAGACATGTGTTATTGCTTCCCATGGAAGCTTTTATTCTTTTGTTGTTGGTGTCGGTGGTGTTGTTTTGGCCCTGGGGCTTGAACTCAGGGCCTGGGAGCTTTTTGGCCGGAGGCAAACACTCTTATTACTTGAGCCACAGATCCCCTTTCAGCTGCATGGTAGTTAATTAGACATGGGAGTCTCATGGACTTTCCTGCCTGGGCTGACTTCAAACCACAATCCTCAGATCTCAGCTTTGTGAGTATCTAGAATTACATGTGTGAGCCACCAGTACCTGCATGGAAGGTTTTTTTTATTTTTTCAGTAAATTTTTGATTTTTTAATTTTTTTATTTTATTTATTATTTATTTTTTGTCCATTGTGGGGCCTGAACTCTAGGCCTGGGCGCTGTCCCTCAGCTCGTCAGCTCAAGGCTAGCGCCCTACCACTTGAGCCACAGCACCACTTCCGGCTTTTTCTGCTTATGTGGTGCTGAGGAATCGAACTCAGGGCCTCATGCATGCAAGGCAAGCACTCTCCCACTGAGCCACCTTCCCAGCCCCTAAATATTTTATTTTAAATTTTTAAAAATTGTTCTTATAAAGGTGATATACAGAGGGGTTGTAGTTATATAAGTTAGGTGAAGAGTACAATGCTTTTTGGACAGTGTCACCCCTTCTTTTGCTCTCTCCCAGGAAGTTTTTATTCTTCAAAAACAAACTACCTCCTAAGTCCAGAGAAAAATTCTGCTCATTTTATTCTGACATCCAACTCTGTGTATCAGGGCTGACAGAATGTATTTGGCAATTTTCTTCATATTACAACATCAAATTGTTAATTCTTTTCCCTCCATTTTGTATAAATAAGAGCTTCTAAAGCAAAAACTGCTTACCTGCCTTCCCTGCCTGCCCCGCAGTGGGACAGGCGTCTGTCCTTCCCCGCCTGCCCCGCAGTGCTGGACGGGCGTCTGCTCTGTCTGATGCGGGTTCCTCTCGCACAGGTGTTTGTGGCCAATCCCAACAAGACACAGCCCATCCTGGACATCCTGCTCAAGAACCAGACCAAGCTCATCGAGTTCCTCAGCAAGTTCCAGAACGACCGGACCGAGGATGAGCAGTTCAACGATGAGAAGACCTATTTAGTTAAACAGATCAGGGATTTGAAGAGACCAGCACAGCAAGAAGCCTAATTTCCAATAAACACCTACAATATTAAACCCAAATTCAGCATTTGCTGTTAGCTATTCAGCATCAGGCACTCTTATCGATTCATGAGGAACATTACTGCTAATCTGCTGTTAAGTGAACGGTTTTCATTTTACCTTTTTGTTTTTCAGTCCAGGTTGGAGAACGTAGCTGCTGCTGCCTGCACGCTAGCGCACACGTGGGCTTTTTCCCTTGATCTTTGTGTCATTCAGAATTCAAAGACTCTGTTTGCTACAGGAGATGTGAACATGGCTGTGTTCATGAGGGCAGATGTATGGATGAGAATGGCGTAGGGAAGAGGGCATCGCTATTACCAGCCAACCCCGTGTGTTTGCATTGCTCCTCGGTGAAGATGGGCACATGGGGTGGCGTTCGCCTGGCACCCTTGCCGCCCACCATCCGCCTTCGCTAAGGGAGCTGGCACGTGCAGAGCGTTTTGGAGATCAGAGGGATCTGTGTCCACGATGTGAGCTTGGGGGAGGATAAAGTTGACGTGCAAATAAATTGATACTGAAACAGCAACTTCTCCAGAGTGTGAAGCTTCATAAGGTCATAAGGAAAAAAAAATGTATATATGCTTTTCACAGCTTTCTAGAACTTTCTGACATTTGATTTTCTTGAGACTTGTAAACCTGGATATGTTGAAGGGTATTTGTTCATTTTACTTTTTTGAAGGTATTTTAAAACAGTAGAACTAGCAACGACACCCTGCATTTCATTTCAACACTGCTTACAGGTTTCTTTTGTATATAATTCCTAGAGTGCTCATTTCTTCTTTTAAAATGGTTTAATTTGTACAGCAGAGGAATGTTATTGTAGCAGTATGTAACTATACCTAATACTGGGGTTTTGCAAAAAAAAAAAAAAAATGAATGCTCATATGTAATTGAAATACTTCAGATCACATGAAAATGCTGATTTAACATTTAAGGATCAACCGCATTAAAAGAAAAAAGTAAATCAATCGTTTGTATTCAGTTACCAATGGGGTTCCATCGGCAGGCTGGAATGACAGACCTGAAACTCAGTTTGCTCCACTTTCCTGCCTAATACTGGCCTTATTTGTTTAAAATGAGTCATAAGTTTGCCAGATCTATGAATGATACCAATTATGCTAAATTAATGCTGATTATTTGTGTGGGGCTGGGGCGGGGGGCGGGATCTCTACAGAGCACCCTTTCTTTCTTAGAGTAAGTAATACAGTACAATAGTTGTGAAACTGAATCATTAAACCTTTGGCTTCTCTTAGGAAAAGAAGAGTTCCTTGTCATAGGTGTCCTATGGGGAAATTTATTTTTTTTAATGTCCTATTCCTTAATGCTGCAAATTATCAGTATTTATAAAGTAACTGATTTTGCACCACATTTTTGTGACTGTAACCACAGCAGAACAATGTTCCCTAGACACTATCATTCTGTCTCTTAGAATGGTACCTGTTCATCTCAGTGACAAGCTGGTCACAATTAACAACTTAACAATCAGAGTTTACCAGGTCCAATTCAGCATGGCTATAGCTGGGTGAAAAATTTCTGTAATCACTCTTTGCTAGTGTCTCTTACTAATTGCATTATTTATCAGCCAGTAAAATGAGCCTCCCAGTTGTTTTAAAGCAGGTTTTAAAGGTCTCCTTCGAGAAACACAAGTTAGAAAAGCCACCCCAGAAAATACACATATATCTGATTCTATTAAGTTTAAATGGCAGTCTATAGTCATAGGCTTTCTCAAGACTGTCTGTATAAGAAATGATGTGAAATAACTCACATTCTCTACTGGTCTCCCAGAAAGAGAATCTCTGAGCTGCATCGGAAGGCAGACTCGGCCGTGATGAGAGTTCCAGTTCTGGGCAAGGGCCATGTGATTCAGGAGTTCCCCAGCAGATCAAAAGGAGGAAGTGCGCCCAAACCTGCTTCCACTTGAGCACCTCTGGGCTCTTCGTGGGAGATAGTGGGGCGCAGGGAGCCCAAGAAAACATCCTTGTGTTTCTAACATGTCAGAAGCTGACCACACTTAGGACTTTTGTGCTTTTTGTTCTTAAAACGTTGAAAAGTTGCATTTGAAGTTAGGATCATTTAATATATTCATATTACCAAAAAGTATAATTATACTGGGAGTGGTTTCTTTTTGTGTTATAAAGGTTTAATTTTACTTACGTCAGTTACTTAATGTGATTTTTTTTTAACCCTTCCTTGAAAAACAAAAAGTGGAGATGTATACAGTTGTTAACTATGCCATGGAAGCATTTCCCTTCTCCTGAGGAAAAGTGACTTTCTTACCAGAATATCTGGCTGGCCCTGTAATTTAAATTAAAATAAAATTTTGGAGAAACAGCCTTGTCCATTTTTCTGATGTCACGTAGACAGCTGCATTTCTGCCATTGTGAAGGGCCTGGGCAGGTGGCGCGGGCACACGTTTTGCTGTAAAACAAACACCCTGCCATCACCTCCCCTGGTCAAGATGACGTGTGCTGCTAGGTTACTTGTTCTCCCCTGCCCCGGGGCCTGTGTGGTTTCATGTCTCATATTCCGCAGACCCAGGGCTTCAGGGAGTAGGCCCTCTCTTTGGCTCCTTGGTCCTTTACGATTAACACAGGAAGATGATGAGCCGCTGCAATGCCAAGACCATGCAGAAGAGGCGGGTGTGGACACCAGGCAGTAGGCGGCACCTGAGAAGCTGAGCTGGTCTCGGGATTCGGCAAGACACCTCACCTGAGCACAGCCCTCCTCACCCCTCACCTGCGCAGCAAGTGAGACGCTCGTTTCCCTGCAGCGCAGGCAGGGAGGGCAGGCTCTGCCCAGAGACTGCGTCTGAGTAACAGCCTCCTCCTGTGGCTTTCATGTCTCCTTGGTGGTTCCAGCCACTGAGGTGGGACTTCTGCCAGGGCTGATTCTAAGGGTGGCCATGCCCACAGGAATTCGGGTAAGGTTCACATCAGCTTGATGTGCCCTCTTGCTACAAAGTCCCGCACCTTGAGCCTCAGGCTGCACAGGGATTGTGTGATTCGTTCCCTGCCATCCTAGCTTGTAAGGACCACACATGACCGAGCGCACGGGCTGCTCCATGTGCTGTGTTCAGGGCATGGGAAATCTCACAAGTGCCAGCGAGGTGCCTTAGAAGAAGAGGCCAGCCTGGACACGGCCCTGGGTTCTTGCACTCAAGATGTGTTTTGCACTGTTTCTGTGTCTGCCTATAGCATCTTTCTGAGCCTCATGCCGTCTCTAACCACCTAGTGTCCCAGAAGGTCAGAAGGCAGCAAGAAGATTCTCCCCACAAGACATGAGAAGCCTGCCAGCCCCCAGAATCAACCTTACGGAAAGAACTCAAAAGCCAGCGGGGTCAGTCCCACTTTTCACCTTTCCTTGTTTGCTCCTGCTAAGCCAGCCTGCTTACCCAAGCACCTGGGGCCCAGAAATGCCCTAAGCACCGAAGTATGGCTCCTCCAGGGAGCTGGCCTCCCAGCATGCATGCTGCCCAATGCTTGCACAAGACCATGCCATTCTGCAATTGTGAATGATGTTAAGTATGTGAGCCTACAGTGAGCTGTGTGGCCTGCCCCGCCCCCAGGCCTGGAGACCCAATCCGGGAGGTAAATCTCCAAAGACAATGACCAGCAGGGTTCTGTGCAAGAAATTTCATCCTCTGCAATTTATTCGGTTTTGTGGCAGTTTTTTCCCCCCGTTGTACTGGAGATTGGGCTCATTGGGCTCAGGGATGCAAAGCCCGCGTCTGTGTGGTAAATGCTTTTTCCTGCAATCTGCCGAAGAGCAATCTAGGGAAGCTGTGCATGTTTTTTCCTGGGTTTTACACAAGGTTCACCGGTGGTTTTACAGAATCTATGATCCTAAGTAATGTTTCTCATGCAGATCTCACTGTTCCAAGGAAATAACTCAGGCTGGCTCTAGAATGCAGCGGCTCGGGCCCCCACTTGGCTGGAATGCACAGGGGGACGGGTAGGCCAGCTGGGGAGGCCTAGAGAAGCCTCTAGGAGTTGCCCCGCGGTGTCTCTCACATGGGCTGGAGCTTAAAGGCCTGGCCCTGCCGGGCCTGAACCACCCCGAGCAGCAGTGCGCTCTCCTCCATCCCCGCACGGAGATCTAGCACCCCGTCTTATAAAGTCCTCAGCCACGTGTAGAAAGCGTGCTGAGGGTCAAGCAGTCCACGCCACCCAGGGAGGTGGGCACGGGCGTGGGATTGATGCCAGCCTCCGCCAGGCAGGTGTGCCTGTCCTGAGTGTCTGCTACTGCCTCCATGCCCTTCCCTGGACCCGGGACCTTCTGGAGACCCGCAGTGCTCCCGGGCTGAGCTCTGACGAGCACTGATGCATTAGCGCCAGCGCATCCTCGGATCAAGGACCAAACCATGCCTCGCCTGGAGCGCCTGGCCGTTCCCAAGCCCGAGTCGCAGCTGAGACCCGCGCAGGGCCCAGGCAAAACAAACTCCCGATCCTCCCACTGCCCCCTCGCAAAAATGGGGCCTTTTTAAAAGAACAGGCTGAGCCCCACGAATTCACCACGACAGGTTGAAGCCCACGTGATTAAGGTCCAAGTAGAGAGGTGAGAGGCCCAGTCCATCCACCAGCCTCCCTGCACCTCCCCTGCTTCTCCACGAGGGGGCAGTGCGGCCCCGGTTCCGACCTGTGAGGCTCCAGCACTCTGGGGCATCAGGCAGGAGAAACAGAAAGGGGCCCCAGGGCCTGAGTGGTGTCTTGTCCTGTGCTGTCAGCCAGCTTTGAGAGACGTTTGCAGCCAAGAGCAGGGCGTGGGATAGCAAGGTTATAAAACGAGATCGAGACAGAAGACAAAATGTGAAGAGAATTGTGGTGGGGGGCGCGAGACTGGCTTGTGAATAAACTTGGGAAGAGTTGAGGGGGCAGCTGGTAGAGAGCAATCCCTGGACTTCCCACTCGGCTTCCTCTAGAATGTTCCCTTGGCGTCGTCGTACCTTGGTGCTTCGCGCAGTGCAGCTGGTGGACCGATGTCACCACACAGGCACTAACTGGTCCATTCTCTTCGGATCTGCCTCCCGAGGCACCTCGAGCTGGCCTGCCCTTCCCTGATTCTTCATGGCAGATTTGACCAGGATAGTTGGGCGTTCTCCCTCGCCGGAGATCTGACTGGTTTTCTCACGATGAGGATGAGGATGGCAGGTGCGGAAGGCCGGGCAATCCTGGCGCCTTTACCCTCACAGCCCAGCCAGGTGCACGGTGCCCACACGGGGTTCTGCTGACAGCACCCCTGTGCACAACTCGCACCGCAGCGAGTCAGGAAAATGGAGCCACTGCCCAACTGTCTAGTCACCCACTCTGTGGGTTTTCCCTGTAAAATGATGATTTTCTTCCTTTCACACGGGGCTGATGTGCTACCGTGTGTGCCTCTAGCTCTTCTTTTGTCTCTCTTTTACTTGACACTACTGGGATTTTGAATCAGGGCCTTGTGTTTGCCAGGCAGACTCGCTATCATCTGAGCCATGTCACCAGCCCTATTCACTTTCATTTTTTAAATCGAGTCTTGCTGTGGCCTAGATTGGCCTGGACAGTGATCCTCCCAAGTATGCATCCTAAGTAGCCGGATGACAGGTGCATGTGCTCAGCGATCAATTTTCTGTAGCCTTGAAATGTCTCATGATGAAGAAACTAAATAAGCCATGATGGTGTAATTGTGGAATGTTCCTCACAGGCTGGTGTGTGGAATACTGGTAGTACCCTTTGGGAGGTGGTAGAAGCTTTAGAAGGTGGGGTCCAGTTAGAGGAAGTAGCCACTGTGTGGGAGGGGAGCACCCTGGCTCCCGCGTTTGCCCTCCCCACTCCGTGTCCATGAGAGGTGAGCAGCCTCCCCCACACACATTCCCACCACCAGCATGCTCTGTCAAGCCTGATACAGGGCCACGTGACCACAGACAGAACCCTAAAACTGTGAGCCAAACTAAAGCCTCCTCACCAAATTCTGTCAGGCAGTTGGTCAAATCCAGAAGAAAAGTCCATGGCTCAGGTGGCTGTAATCATGACTGATGATAGGATCCTGCTATCCTAGCCGATCTCAGGAGGCTGAGATCTGAGTGTCACGGTTCAAAGCCAGCCCAGTCAGGAAAATCCAGAGACTCCTATTTCCAACTAACCACCAAAAAACTGGAAGTGGAGCTGTGGCTCAAGTGGTAGAGTTCCAGCTCTGAATGAAAAAGCTAAGAGATAATGAATGCCCAGGCCCTGAGTTCAAGCCCAAGTACCAGGACAAGGAAAAGGAAAAAGAAAATTATACAACGTGTGGGTGGGGACAGAAGGGGCAGGAAAGAGCGAGGGATGGAGTGGCATTGGCCAAAGAGAAATGCACTCTTTACCTGGCCTATGTAATATAATCCCCCTGTACAACACCTTTATAATGACAATAAAAAGATGTTGAAAGGAAGGAAAGAGAGAGAGAAAAGGAAGAGAAAGAATGAATGAAAGGAAGGAAGGAAGGAAAGAAAGAAAAGAAAAGAAAAGGAAGGAAGATAAGGAAGGAAGATGAAGGAAGGGAGGAAGGGAGAAGAAGGGAGGAAGGGGGAGAGAAAGAGAAGGAGAGAGAAGAGAGCAAGAGAAAGATCAAACATAAATACATAAATGATGGAAATGACCAAGGGGCTTAGCACACACCCCAGAAGAGGCTGAGTGTGACTCAGAAGGCCCCCATATTGTCCAGAGCACAGAGCCTGCGCATCTCACTCGTGCCCAACAATCTCCGTTGATGCATGCTGATTCATTGCCAAGTACTGAATACAGGACCACTTGCTCAGCCTTCACGCCATTCAGATGCACAGATGAGGAAACATAGGCACAGAGAGGCTCACCCACTCAACCAAGGCCACACAGCAGTAGGGAGCAGACCCATAGATAGAGCTACGTGGCTTCATTTTGCTTGAATCCGGCATGCTCTGCCCTCTTCCAAGGCCCAGTGAACAAAGACATCGATGGCTCGAATCCCACGCTGGGATTTAATAAATGCCAGGGGTGAGAGCTGAGCCCCTAGGAGGCGGGGCTCAGAGCAGCCCTGGCCAGCTAGCACCTGCTCTGCAGAGCTCAAGGGGAAATGGCCCAGTGCCTGCCCTGGGCCCAGCGGGAGTCCTGAGCTCCCAGGGTGCCTTGGGCCCCAGGGCCACAGCCGGAGGAGCTCGGAGGAGCAGGTGAGGCTGGGGAGCCGTGAGGAATGACGTCC